TAAGAGTTTGAGCTGTCTAGGAAAACTCCAAGTTATTGTCATGTAACTCTAAATTCCAAAATCTTGGGAATGTAGCAATTCTCAAAAAATATTTCCTGCCTTCATTTAAAAAGGGGGGGGGCATGGGGTATTGTCTGAAACAAGATAGGGTATATCACCCACTATGATCTTTCTACTGCTTAAAAGACAACATTTTTAATTTTATCAGTTTTCTCCTTGACTTGCAAGGAGCCCGTTAAGTTTCTCAGACAACCTGCTGCAATATTCTGCCATGGTAGAGCCTTGCCTTGGTCTGCACAACTAAAACACATTCACTAGTCCAGTGGTGAATGCCTCCTAGGGCTGTTATATGGCAGAAACTTTCATTGATGATGTCACTCCAGGTGGCATTCCACAGTAGCAGCTTTCAAGGAGAAATCTGGGTGGTGGTAATATACAGGCAAATTACAATTAGAAACAAGAGTAAGAAAGACAGAAGTTGAACCCACTATAGGAAGGTTGTTGTGTCCATGGGCCTATTCTGTAGTATAGTGCATCAAGTGGAAAGTGGTCACTTATAAGAAAGCACAAAGAAATGGAAGAGTAACAGAAATTGAGATGGAAAGCACCATTAATGAACTTGACCTCCTCTCTCCGCCCATGGAGAGACTCCAGGAAAGAAATCCTAACTGGCATGAAAATCTATTTCTAGCCAACAAATTTATCTTAATCTCACCCTCAGAGCGACCTATAATTATATTCCTTATTTCACTGCTAAAAAGAGAATTAGAAAGTATCTGCCCAAATTAGAAGCTGAAACTGAGATCAAGAAATGTTAAGTAATGTAAGGAAATTCACCTGATGGGTGAGTTGCAGAATCTCCTCCAAACAACTAGATCAGCTTCCTTCCTTTTGTTCTCTGCCAGTGTTTGTCTCTCTTCAGCGGTTTCTGTTTGTCTTCACTTAGGGGCTCATCTTGGCACCACCAGTGTAATTTCCTCCTTTAAATTAACTTGATTTTTTTTTCCCTTTGTGCAACTCTCAGATCGCATTCCACCACTGAGGAGAGTTAGGGCCGGAACTCAGGCAGGAACTTGAAAGCAGGAACTGAAACAGAGACCATGGACGAGTACTGCTTCCTGGCTTGCTCCTCAGGTCTGTTCAATACGGCCTGGCCATTCTCTTTTCTTATATAATCTAGTACCAACTGCCCACAAGTGGCACTGTCCACAGTGACCTGGGCTCTCCCACATCAATCATTAATCAAGAAAATGACCTAGGGACTTGCCTACAGGCAAACTGATGGAGGCATTTTCTCAACTGAAATCCTTTTTCCCAGATAACTCTAAAACAACCAGGAAAAAATTCCTTATGATACTATTGACTAAATTTCAGGGCCCAAACAGGATTACTTGATTTGGATGGCTTAATGCCAATTTAAAACTTTCTTAATTATAACCTTAGCAAGATATAGCAAACATAGCTACCTGTTTTGCTTGTGGTTGTCTGTGTATTTTAGTTGGAAATGGGATTGTATCTTAATTGATTGGTGTCTTCTTATAGCAGTACAGAGTCCTGACTCAGGGAACATTACTTGTATTAGGGACACTTTCATTCAGTGCCCTGAAGGATACTGAATTATGTGAAGTTATGCAATGCTGTGGTCTGAATGGTGTCTCTACGTGTGGGGAACCTAACCTCCAACCCAGCTGTTTCATAAAGTAATGCCTTAGGGGAGGTGTTTTGGTAATGAGAAATGTATCCCAGGGAAAAGATTGATGCCATTACAATGGACTTGTTGGAAAGAGTTTGTCTTTCTATCCTTCCCCTTTCTCCCATTTGAGGACACAGTAAGGGAATCCTCACCATATGACAGCACCTTTATTTGTGACATCATAACTTTCAAAATGTGAAAAATAAATTTTCAGACTTTATAAAGGGCCCAAATGTACTTACACACACTCAAGTGAGAACTCTGGACCAATTACTAAATTCCATAGAATGGCTCTTGCTTGAACATATAATAGAGTCAGCCATAAAACATATCACCTCCTAACTCCAGGGTAAATACTGACAAGCTTGGCTTGCCTGTGCATGCCTTCTACAATTATGGATTAGTGAGTTATAAATAAGGTAAAACTTTGTCTCCTCACCCTACCTCCACTAAAAGCAAGTATCATACTAAATAAAACATATTGAAGCCTGCTTATGCAATGAAGAGCATTTACCTTGGACTCAGAGACTCAAGTTTGAATAGCTAATTAACTTTACTTAATAGCTAGGAGAGAAATCATACAATACAGCATGTTTCCTCTCTCAGAAATGAAAGATAATTATTCTTTACTTCTGGATTGTAATGAGAATTAAGTTGAATTAATGTTTTAGCTGAGTTGGGCCAGACAAAATATTGCCTTAATTATTTTGTTCATTAAGATTTCATGATTGCCTAACTTTTCTTTCTTCTCCAATCTTTCAAAAGTAATATAGTAAATAGATTTTTCCATGCTTCAGCTCTAAAAAATCCTTTAGAAAGTTAATAATAAAAATATGGTTAACCATCTTCTTTTTGGGACTAAACTGATGCAACTAGTTCTTCAGAAACATTCTGCTAAGTATTCACATCTGTGGTTGTTGGTATTATTTGTCAACTTGATTGGATCTGGGATCAACTAAAAAGCACAAATCTAGAAAAGTTAATTGAAGGAGCAGGAGTCTTCCCACAGAGTAGGTGGCATCTTCAGGTTGTGGCCCAGATATAGAGAAGTCTGTGGGAAAATAAATACTGCTGATTTTCCCCTGTTGGCCCATGAGTACATCTAACCTGCATATGACAGCTGTTGCTACCCTCTCCTGACATCAGAACCTGCTTTTTATTTTTTATTTTTTATTTTTTTTTTGGCTCTCCAGAATCCTCTAGACCTACAATGCCAGTTGGGTGCCCTGAGGAATTTGACGTTAGGGTCTGAACAGCTCACAGATTCTCAGCTTTCCAGTGTGTAGACGGACATTTTGTACAGCCCAACCCATATCCTGTAAGCCAATCTAAAAACCCTCCTTGTAATATATATCCTCTCTCTAGGTTGTATGTAATGAATCTTTCTCTGTCCCACCAGCCAGCTTACAAATCATGACATGGAGACTTATTAATTATGAAAGTTCAGCTGATAGTTTAGACATGTTTTTAGCTAGCTTGTATAACTTAAATTAACCCATTCCTACTCATCTGAGGCTCATTTACCTCATCTACATGCTGTCCATCTTGCTTTCCTGCCTCCTCCCATCTTCTTCCCGGTGTCCTCTTGTGGTTGATATATTATGCACCCCAATAAACTTATCTGGGGGTCAAAGAACAGAATAGCCACTATATTAAACATAGAGGTTAGGCAGTGGTAACACACGCCTTTAATCCTAGCATGCTGGAGGCAGAGATCCATTTGGATCTGCTGTGGGTATCTTTCTGTATACTGTGAATATGTGTTGCTCTAATTGGTTGATAAATAAAGCCAGTTGGCCTATGGCAGGAAAGAAAGAGAAAGACAGGAAGAAGATCGAGGAGACGCCAGCGAGCTGCCCAAAAAGCAACATGTAATGGGACGCAGGTAAATCCACGGAACATGTGGCCATACATAGATTAATAGTTATGGGCTAATTTAAGAGATAAGAGCAAGCTAGCAAAAGGCTTGAGCCATGGCCACGCAGTTATAATTAATATAAGCCTCTGTGTGTTTACTTGGGGGATGGGAGTGGGAGAGATTTGTCCCGATTGCTGTCAGGCTGGGACACAGAAAATCTTTCAACTACGTGGATCTCTGTGAGTTCAAGGCCACACTGGAAACAGTCAGGTATGGTGACACACACCTTTAATCCCAGGACTTGAGATCTCATGTCTTGTTTGGGAAAGACACACGCCTTTAATTCCAGGAAGTGATGGCAGGAAGAAGAAAGATATATAAGGCATGAGGACCAGAAACTACAGGCTTTTAGGCTTTTAAGCTTTTAGGCTTTCAGCAGCACAGTTCAGCTGAGATCCATTTGGATGAGGACTCAGAGGCTTCCAGTTTGAGGAAACAAGATCAGTTTAGAAGTTGGCAAGGTGAGGTTGGCTATGGCTTGTTCTGTCTCTCTGATCTTTCAGCATTCACCCCAATACCTGGCTCTGGGTTTGTTTTTATTAACAAGACCTTTTAAAATTTGTGCTACATCCCCTGGGGCCTGGAAATCCTGCCTAACTATTGGCCATTCAGCTTTTAAATAAACCAATCAGGGTGGCACATCTTCATAGTATACAAAAAAGATTATTCCACAACAGTTATATTCCTCTCGAGAACCCTGGCTAATACAACATCCATCTGTTACTAAATTTTATGACCATTTCTTCAAAGAGAATTTTAATAAATATTTATTGAGCTTTTGTATAATATAAACTGTCAGCAATAAATCAGCACCCAAGCTACGAACATGTAGATGATGTCTGGGGGCTGGTGAGAAGGTTCAGGCAGTAAAGATGGCCCCTGACAACCTGAGTTTGAGCTCCAGGATCCATGTGGTACAGAAAGCCAACTCCCCAGTATTGTCTCTGTCTTTCACACATGTACCATGGTACACACACAATTGATAAATACACATTTTCAGAAAGTAGGTTATACTTTAAAATATATTAAGCAAGAATGAATTATGCAGTTAAATAGTTGAATTTGTCTTTATCATGTAATACAAGTCCCAGCACACTTAATCTTTTTGTTAATATAGATAGGAGGTTAAACGTGATTTCTAACATAATTATTGCACAGCTTCTGGTTTGGGTAGATAAAAGACATATTCCCATATGCAATGTGAATATTCCATAAATAAATATAAATACAAATACAAATGTTAATATAGCCAAGAAAATAATAAGGAACACCTAGCCAAATATATTATTAAAACCAAATGAGGATTTAATTTCATATATAATGACTTAAATTAGAAAATAATTTATTATTAGTATATATATGCATATATATTATATATGGAGTGTATGTATACACACATGTGCACATGCATGCCTTGGCATGTGTGTAGATGAGAAGACAACTTTCAGGAGTCTGTTCTCTTTGTTCATGGTGGGTTCTGATGATTGGATTCAAGTCCTCAGGGTTTCATGGGCTTTCATGACAAATGATTTTACAAACCATCTCTCCAGCTCTAATTTCATGAATTACATTCTACATTGTCTTTCTTGATATTCTACATTCAGGCTTTTAAATGATTCTTAAATTTGATTTTCAAACTATCATGTAAAACAAGCCAAAATGAAGCCCCTCTGAAACCGATGAACTCTGCCACGGCCAACACTTCTGTGTCAACAGCTCTTTCTGTCATCTTACCGAAGTCTGATTTCAATTGTCTCCTTACATCAAATGTGGTGTGGAAACCAAGTCTTCTGTGCTTGGATCCAAAAGTGAATGCATAGAGCTGCTATGAGTAAAACTCTAGAGGAGGCTTTCTTGCTGTCCTGGTCTGGCTGTTTTCATTAGAATCAGCTGGAATGGCTGTTAATAAATAAATCTTCTATACCCCATCACCCCAAGTTTCTAGGAGGCAGAATAAATGACTCCTTAAAGACAACATCAAAATCCCCAAATCTGTTGTCTATTTTGGTTGACAAATGAAAAGGTCGCAGATGGAATTAAGGTTGCCAGTCAGCTGACCTTAAAATATGGAAAGTATCCAGGTACCCACATGCCCTATAAAAGTAGAATCAGCTGCCAAAAGAGAAAATGTGGCTATAGAAGAAAGTCCCAGAATTCAGTGCGGCCAGCTGGGAAGATGGAGGAAAGCAGTCATGAGCAGACTGGGTGTGCCTTCCAGGAGCTGCTATGGGTAAAAAAGATAAATTATCATGCAAGGCTCCAGAAAGAGAACCAACTTAACCCCAACACCCCCCCCCCCCCCCCCACCCCCCACCCCGCAAAAAAGGCCATTTTTAAATGCTAGTTTACAAAAAAAAAAGGAAGGTCACACATTTTGGTTATTTAAGCCACTAAGTTTATGGTAATTATTTCAACAAAAATGCATGACAAATCAAGATTTGGGGATATATGGGAATTTGCCTTTTGTCAGTCTTCCAGATAACTCCTTTGTATGCTAATATTTAAAAATATTACTAACCTTGAAGGAGGAGAGATGACTTAGTGGTTAAAAGTGCTTGCTGCTCTTACAGAGAACTAGATTTCAGTTCCTAGCACCCATGTCAAATGGCTCACAATCACTTGTAACCCTCTTCTAGCCTCTAAGTGAATATGCATACACACACAGACACAGACACACACAAAATAAAATAAAATAGATCTGTTGTGAAATATTATTTTAAGATGTGCTGTATTTGTTTATGCTGTGGAATATTTGTCTTAATGATGCAAAGATTTGTTACATTCTTTTATGGTTCACTTGTTTAACTCTGTGAAGCTGTGTTACATTGCCTGTCTAAAACACCTGATCTGTCTAATAGTGAGCTGAATGGCCAATACCAAGGCAAGAGAAAGGATAGGCGGGGCTGGCAGTCAGAGAGATAAATAGGAGGTAAAATCTTGGGAAAAGAAGAAGGACTAAGAAAAGGAGGAGGACACCAGGGGTTAGCCACCCAGCTACACAGCAAGTCACAGAGAAGTAGAGAAAGGTAAAAGCCCAGAGGCAAAAGATAAATGGGATAATTTAAGTTAAGAAAATCTGGGTGATGGGGGAAGACTGATGGGGAGCAGAGGTGGGATAAGATGGGGATCTGTGGTTGGAACGTAAAATGAATTAAAAAAAAATCTTGAAAAAAAAAGAAGGAAAATCCGGCTAGTAACAAGCCAAGTTAAGGCCGTGCATTTATAAATAAGAATAAGCCTCTATGTGTGATTTATTTGGGAGCTGAGTGGCGGGCCCCCCAAAAAGCAAAAAGAATAAAAGTAAAACAAAACAAAAAACCAACATAAATCTTTAAAAAATTACTAAGTTGTCCTTTATTTTAAACATTAAATATATCTTAAAAGAAAGATAAATTTCCTACTTTGACTGAACAGAAAAAACAAGTGGGAAAAGAGTAATTAGACTTTTGTTTGACAGCTGTGGACTTAAAGAAGTAAAGAAACAAGACAGTGAATTTTACACTAGCACTACAAAACATTTAAAAATTGTAATTAAAATTTAAAAAGGTTTTCAGTGATTTCCAATGAACCCTCCTTACTTGGATTATTAAAGATTTTAAATATAAGGTATTATGGACTCTCATTTTAAAAAACTAGAGGATTTAAGGAAGGGAAATATTCATATTACCTAGCATGTATTAGTTATAGATGTAATAAATGAATTTTCAAGGCTGGATAGGATTGGATACATAGGAAGCATTAAGGTAGATAATATCTGGAAAAACCAAAATCTAGTATTAACAGGCAGGGCATAGGACTACAGCTCAGTTGTAAAGTGACTAGTTAATACGTTCAGGCCCAGCATTGAAAGAAAAGAAAGTGGAGGGGAAATCACCTAAATAAGAGATAAAGGTCTAAAATGGGCAGTGAAGCTAACCTAACTAACAAGTGGCCTATCAGGGTTTTAAGAAATAAGTGAGCATGAAGAATGAAAGAATTTCAATGTAATCATGTCTCAAAGCTTTACTGCCCACATGGATTGCATTCGTTACCACCAGGAAAGTTTTCACCAAATTGTGCTGTGCTTAATTAAACATGCCTAAAAAAAAAAAAATACTCAGGGCCAGACTCCCTAAGTTTAAACCAACACTGGCTACCGAGTCATGTTGACCCCAACTACCTTCTTGCCTCTGGCAGATCATTTTTCTGCTGGTTGTAGACACCCCTAAAACTGGCACCCCATGAGTGGGACTTGGCCCTCAGAAAAGGTACAGACATTTTTTTTTTAAATAGAAGAAGAGGAATTCAGTCCTCTCACCCAAGGGGTTGCAACTGTAAGTGACAGAGTGAAATAACATGGGTTTCTCTCAGTCCTCTGAGGCAAAGCATTTTATACAATTATTGAGCTGTTTGTTAAGATCCAGAGAAGCAAAACATTCAAAGCAACAGCTCTGCAACTTTGTACAAGTGACTGTAAAATTTAATCCTAAATGGTTTGGATCCTAAACAAGGAACCATTGATGTTGAAAATGGAAAACACATAGGAGCTAATGTAAAAAGAGCCCATACTAAAAGCTCTATAAATTATTTTGCATTCTAGACTACAGTTACATATTGCTTGGACCCCCTCAGGAGGAACACACACACACACACACACACACACACACACACACACCCCTTCTGGACACATCCAGGCAAGTCTTGGCAAAGCCGGCCAAGTGAACTCCGAAGCCTCTCTTGCTCCCTGGTGGTCACTGAGGCAGGTATGTTTAAGGCTTGCCCGTTTGAGCAGGGCTCAGAGTTCTCTGGCCTCATGGCCCTTTCCAACCTCTGGGTCCACAGAACACTGAGAAGAATCTGATGCTCATTGCCTGAATTTCGAGGGTCAGGCCGGGCTCCACAACTACATGAACCACAGGGCTGGGCTGCCCCAGAGCACCCAGCTTTTTGTTCTCCCTCACCGCAGGAATGAGCCGGTATTGGCTGATCAATGGCCCCTTCGTTGGGAAAAATTAAAATAGGCCCAAACTCTAGTATAGGAACAATTACGACCAGGATATATAGAACTTCAGTTGGCCTCTGAAACTTCCCTATTTTTGTATTCATACGAGAGAAAAACATTCTACTGTTACATGATCTTTGGGACATAAATGCTACTATGAAAACAGGGGGGATCCTCCAGCCAGATTTCCCTGCTCCTACTATGATTCCTCAAGGATATTTATTGGTATACTTGACTTGAAAGACTGCTTTTTTTCTATTTTTTTACATCCCACTGTTGGCCACCTGAAGATGTACTTGGCAGACAAGTTGAAGAGACTGGGGATAGCCAGAGTGGTCAAGACCCCTGACCCCAGGAGAATAGAAAAGGCTGAGAGGCAGGGATGGGTCTTCAAAATCCAGACTGTGCCATTTATTTAAATTTGAGTGGCAGTTTATTGGGTACACAGAGGAGGAATCAGTCTTCCGGTCACAATGGGTAGCTTTGGAGCTCCAGTTTGTACATCCCCACCCGAAATGGGTACCCTGAAAAAAGTGACTGAGGCTCAACAGTAACTGACGTCACGTATAAATTAGCCAATGAAGGATAGAGGTGGACTGAAAATGAGAACTGGCCTAACGTGAGTAAACAGGAAAGTTACAAAAGGATTGTGAATGTGGAGAGGGTATACTCGAAGTCTGGAAATATTTGGGATGATGTCCTTGAGGATGGAGTCTAGTAAGTGGGAAGTGGGAATGAATGGGACATGAGCTTGGACACAGAAACAGAGGAAAGGTTTAGCACAGTCTTTCAACTGAGTTTCCTTGCCTTGAAAATAAAAGAGTGACTAGAAACGTGAAAGCGATCCCATTGAAACACGGCAGAAACACTGAGCTGCTGGCACCCCTGTCTCTAGAGCACAAGCAGGGAGAGCCTGCCTAGAAGAGAAGCCGGGGCAGCTCTGGATGTTGCTGGTAGGAGGCGGCTCCAAAGGGCTGGTGAAATGAGCTGTCTGTTACTGAAACTATAGATGCTTCCTCTGCTGGCGCATGCTCAGTTATCATCCATCCAATTATCACGGCCAAACACATCCAAAATAAGGAATTTTATCTTGTCTTTTACCTCAGAAGTGGAGATTTCCTCATTTCCAGCCTCTCAGGCACTGAGGGCACAATCTACCAAGGTTCCTTTGTATTTATGATTATTAAAACTTCAGTTTTTAAATCTGTATTTTTGTACAAATTTGTATTTTAATAATGTGAGCAGGCTTGGGAGATGTATAAGAAGAAAAACTGGGGTAAATTGGAATCAAGAAATTTTTTTTTAGAATATTTCTTCTGGATTATAAATACAGTGGCCAAGGAATGCAAGCGTAATTGCACATTTCTCAAATTTCCTTGGAGGCTGAAAGGGGCTAACCCAGAGTACAATCAGTAGGAGTTAGATTATTTTGAAACTTTCACCTAAAATTATTTTTGGTGCAGTCTGAGAATCCGTTATATCAAATTGTCTGTGAAATGTAGTAAGAACTAGATCCTTCCAGCAAGTTCTGTCTACATGGAACTGTTATGCTTTGATACTGTTGACATTTCCCTTTGATTTACAGTATCAGCTAGATATGTACTTTCATGCTAGCATGGAAAACACAATTGTTTTCTCCTTCAGGATTTTCTGTGTTCATTTCTCAGGAACGTCTGAGTGTCCTGTTACCTAGTAGAAGAGTCATCTTGAGCTCAGAATTTCAACTGCCTCGAAATTTAAAAATCCAAATCTTATGTAAATAACATTAGGTTTAAATTTTTAGAAGTTAATGACCATTGCTAATTAAATAGGTTTTGGTTGCTTTTTGGATTTGTGCTTGCCTTTGGTCTGATATAAATGATCAGACTGTAGCCAGGGAGGAAGTTAGAGAGGTTCAGGAGAGCATATCCTGGACTGGGGGCACATCTTACACAGCATTCCAAGCTCCTGGGGCATAATTACTAATGGGTGGTTTTCACATCAGCTTGATATCTGGACTAGTGCTGTCTGTGCCTGGGTCGTTCTCTGCTGTCAGGTGTGCTCAGAGTGCACTATGTAGTATCTCTGCCTAACTAGACTGCCACAGAGCATAGCCCTGGGCATGGCATGGGGCCCCAAGAGCTCCAGGAAAATACAGTTATGTCATATCTGGAACCTGGCTTTGTCAAATACTTGTTATGCATTTCCTTTCTAGGACTCCAATTACAACGGAAGCTAATAATGGTCCTGCTTATACTAGCAAA